TTTTATGGTACTGAGCTGACCAGATTAGAGAGCTAATTTTTCCTAAAATTCGTATTATATTGTAAATTTTATTTTTGGTAAATTATTTTATGAATTTAATATTGAAATGTGTGCACCAGTAAGGTCATTTATGCATAAGGAGATTCATGAATCAGAGATGGGCTTAAATATATAATTTTTTGTGATCTTGGACTACAGTCTGTTGCTGACGGAAAAATGTAGAGATAGGCTATCGCATGCACAATTTTTTGTTTCAAGATCCTCTCCTTTTTGTCAGCAATACACAATTTGATAAAAATAGGTAAGTTATTTTTTTTTATTGTATAATTTAATATAAAAAAATATTTAAATTTGTTTTTAATAAAAAAAATGGTGGTCTTCTTTGTGTCACAATGTACAATGAAAATGGTTGAATAAATAGTGGATCTCTTAATATTGTAATTTAAATAATACTAAATTATATAAATAATAAAAACTGTTAGATAAGAAATAAACTCTAATACTCGAATCGCTTCCTTACCGACCATTCTATTATTTCTACAATTCAATATGGTCCAAATAGATTCTTTTAAGGGAAAAATGTGAATCAACTGTACCTATAAAATATTAGATGAAAAATAATTCAAAATTAAATTGTTTCAATAAATTTTCATTGAAAAAGATTAAAATTTATATATAAATAGATTTTAACTATATACATATTCATTCACACACTAAAATTCTAAATTATACTCTAATGTATTAACCACATTTTAAATTTTGATTCCAGATGATGAACCGAAATGGTAATTAATTAGATGATGAACCGAAATGGTAATTATTAGATGATGAACGGAAATGGTAATTATTAGATGATGAACCGAAATGGTAATTAATTAGATGATGAACTGAAATGGTAATTAGTTAGATGATGAACCGAAATGGTAATTATTTCTATATACTCTAATATATTAAACCACATTTTAAGTTTTGATTGTGAATGGATGGTAAATTAAAATTTAGCTGAAATATGCATTTAATCCCTTACTTTAATAAGATTAAAAATTTTAACTCATCACCTTACACTATCCAATTTTTAAATTTTAGCCCCTAAACTAATGAAATAGTTAACTCTCCATTAAAATGAAAATAAAACATTTACAAAATCAGTTCTCAAAGATTAAAAATATAGCAATTTAGTTTTAAAAGTTTAAAATTGAAAAAATTAGTAAATTAAAATAATTAGTGGATGTTTTTGCCACATATATACACAAGAATAATATTAAATATTTAAATCAAATTAAGCAATTAATTCAATTTGAAGAAAATATTTTGATTGAAATTAAAGAAAATTTCTTAATTGACTTAAGATAGAAAACCCAAAAGATAAAAAGACTACAACCAAGAAATAATATGTAATCTTAGTTAGATTTTTTTAATTTAAATTGAGTTAATTACTTGATTTGATTATAGATATTTAATATTGTTCTCGTGTATGTGACATTGACATATATTGATTATTTTAATTTATTAATTTTCTGAATTTTAAATTTTTAGAACTAATTGTTATATTTTTAATTTTTGAGCACTGATTTTGTAAATATTTTATTTTCATTTTTAACGGAGAGTTAACAGTTTTTGTTAATATAGAAGTTAAAATCTTTAAATCTTTAAGTTCAATGACTAAAAATTTAATAATGTAAGGTAAGAAATTAAAACCTTTCAATTTATTAAAATAAAAGTTAAATGCATATTTTAACCACCAAAATTCTATATATTGCGATGTATTAAACCATATTTTAAATTTGATATAGATACTAAAATAAACCCACCATTAATAATTTGGCTTGTAAGGACAACATCCTTGTATAGATTAGAGGTTGTATATATATATATATATATATATATATATATTGATAGTCCAATGCAATATGTCAATAACATCCGCTTCTAATTCTTCGTGCCCCAATATACTAGAGGGAAAAACGTAAGCTAAAATGAGGACTTTCTCAACCTTTGTTCTTCTTGTTATTGTTCTTTTGGCTGCTTGTGGTAAATTCTCAATATTTTTTTAAAGTTTATTTTGATGTTTTTAAGTAATTAACTCAATGATTAGCTGCAAACTAACAAAACAACATGAATTATGGTTTTAGGAAATGGACCAGTGGTGGTGAGTGCAAAAACCTGCGAAGAGAAGCTACTTACTACACCTGACTGTACTGGAGCTCTGTGTACTGGTCAGTGTAAGAATATACACGGAGATGGTGCTGTGGGGAAATGTAATCTATCTGTGGAATGCTATTGTACTTTTCCTTGTTAATTTCATCTCACGTTGAAAGAGGTTGCAAGGCAGACACATTTGTAACTTCACCTCTTTCACAAATCTACCCGAAATAAAGATAAAAAATTATTCATATACTACCTTATTTACATATTACCTTATTTACGATTCATTTTATAAGGTGAAATGTATGATCAATAAGTGGTTAAAAATATAAGTGATTTCAGATGGATCCTTCCATGAGACATCAAAAAGGTAGGGGATAATAAGGATTTAAATATTGCTATGTTAACATTTAAGATATCAATGCGATATAAAATTGAAAAAGCTAGGGGATTAAAAGTATTGAAACATTGTGCCTGTGGCGCAAGCCTTGTAGGAGAAAAAGCACTTCATCTCATTCATGAAATTGCTTCATGAATGAAAAAACGATTGCTCTGTAGAGCAAACACAATTAGGTGATAAAAAGAGATAGGAAAAATTGTTTGAGTTTCTGTATTATGAAACAACAATTCCTCTAAACTTGGCAATGTCTCAATGTAGCATAGATGTTATGATTTAGAATTGTGGTTGCTGGGTGTACTTCATGGTGCTATAATTTGATCATAAATTGGAGATGAGATGGACCAATAATATGGATTTTCTGATTAGGATTTTTTAAAGGCATCCGATACAACAATGATTTTACTTTGAATCAAGGCATGGGATTTTCCATTATGTTGGAGTTGGCGAATAAAATTGACTTGAATTTGGATGTGTTACGGGGACTGCAAATCGTGTTTCTAACCAGAACAATGGAGATTGAGATTCATTAAAAATCTTAGTTTCTTGCATTTTTTGTGATCAAATTCGTGCGGTTAATCAAATTTCATAACAAGATTTCTTGGCCCTTCGGGCGATAGAAGCAGCGAGGGAGAAGACGATGATACAGTTTTTTGGTTTTATTTTTTCATTTAATTAATAAACCTTTTAAAAATTTAATTATTCATATTTTTGAAAGTCTCTAAATACTTATTTCATTAAAAAACATTTACACCATCCGTTAATCATATCCTCTATCGGTAGAATTGTTTATATTTTTAATTATAAATTTAAAGTTCAATTATTAATCTCTATGTATAAAAAAGATTAATAAAACATTTACAATTTAATTAAATAGATGGGTCTCATTAATTTTAAAACAAAAAACTATTTTGTAATTCATATTATATCAAAATGAAAATAAAGACTTTTAAATTGGGAAAGACTCTT